GGTGCCGAGCAAAGGCCGCTCCAGTGAAGATCCCTGGGAACCGCAGCCTCAGCACCCCAGGAACCAGCCTGGAGCCAGCCGTGCCACAGACCCCCTCCCGGGGTCCTTGCATCGCCGGGCTCCCCGAGGCCCCTGCGCAGCGGTGGCACGGCCCCCGTCTCAGGTCCCCTCTCCTCCCTCTTGCCTCCTAGTTCAACGAGAAGGCGAAGCCGGTGTCATGCTTCAAACACCTAGTGCAAGCAAACATCCGTAACAAGAAGGTCTTCAAGGAGGACGTGCAGGGGATGGTGGCCAAGGGCACGACCGATTACAAGGCTGGCTTTGAGTACGCCTTTGACCAGCTGCAGAACGTGAGCCAGGGCCCGGGGCAGGAGGGGGGGGGCCAGACCGGCAGGCAGGGCGGAAGGGCACCCATGGGTGCTGGGAGCGCCAGGTCGCTCCAAACCTGGCGTCCCTGCACAGAGAGGGCTCTGTTTCCTCCTCCTGGCATCCAGCCATGGCATTTGCTGGGCAGTGACTCCGCGGGGTAGTGCGAAGAACCGCCGGCCGGGCCCTGCGGCCGCCATTTCCCTCCCTTGCTGCGTGCTGTAGCCGAGGTTTTGCTGGAGCCGCTGCCGCCTTTTGCGGTGGTAAAAGTTAGCAAGGCCGGTCGGAGGGCGCTCGATGCAACGGGCCGCCAGGCAAAATAAAGATGAATGACCCTATTAACTGCTGAGCAGTAATAGCCACAACGTAATTTCCAACCAGACAGCGCCCTTCCTTCTCCCCGTCCACCTGGACCACCTTCAGCCCAGGAAAACAGCTCCATCGCAGCCAGCCCACCGCCCTGCCGCCTGGGCCGTCCCACGCGCTCACCCCAACACCCATGCAGAGAGGCGGGGGGGGGAGGGAGCGGCGCGGCGCGCGGCCGCGCCATGTTCACGGACGGCGGGGAGGACCGAGTGCAGGACGTCTTCGAGAAGTACAACTGGCCCAACAAAACGGTGAGCACCCCAGCACGGCCCCGCTGACTGCAATCCTAGGGGGCTACACCTGGAAACAGGGTCATATAAGAGGTCTCCTCCGTGGCCGGGGCAGCAGCTGGGAAGGTGCAATTTAAAGGGGGGTCGCAGCTGGAGGTGCAGCACCGGGAGCCCCCCAGGCCAAGCATGGACAAACCCAGGGTTGCTCGCCGGCACCTCGGCGCCCAGCAGCAGGACCAGGACCAGCCACGGGCAGAGAGCCTGTGCCAGGGCACGGGGCTGCGACAGCCCGGTGGGCTGTGCTAATGGAGAGCTGAGGGCTCACGGGCGAGCTCAGGGACAGGAGGGTCTCCAGCAGCTCCCCGGGCTCTGGAGACCCGTGCGGGGAATCGGGAGCCGGATGGGAGCTTCAGAGAGCACGGTGGCCAGCCTGGCAGAGTAGGCGCCGAGCGGGACCCCTCTCCGTCTCTCCGCAGGTGCGCGTGTTCACCTTCTCCGTCGGGCAGCACAACTACGACGTGACCCCTCTGCAGTGGATGGCCTGTGCCAATAAAGGTGAGGAGGTGCCAGCGAGGCAAGAGGAGCCTCTCAGGTGCCGGCTCG